AAGTAAATAATTACTAAATATTTATATTTTTACTTGAGAACCATATAAGCATACATAATTTTACTGATGACCAGTTAAATTGAAATTGTTAATTAAAAATAGATTTTATTAGGAAAAACTAACTGAAAACTTATACTACAGAAAACAAGTTATATATATACAAAGTTCATTTTTCCCTACCTGGAATGCACTTAAACCATAAAATTCAGTTCAACCAAAATAACAATTAACTACTTCCCACTGAGGCAGTTCCTTGAGGGAGAGCTCTATGAAGTCCCCTGCTTTGAACTCATAGTGTTTACCTGAAACACAAACTTTACTGAAGAGGTTTGTTCCCTAGTGCCTGGGCAGCACTGGCTTCATTTCAAGTATCATTGACTTAATGGGAAGTTTAAATGTCCCTGGGTCTATGCTCCCTGTTCAGTCTTGTTTGAAAGCATCCCAGCCCTTTTCTCACATGAAAATTTCACAGACTGAGTGAGTCACCAGCTCAATTCTAGAACAAAGATGCTCAGTCTGTAATTTGTTTCTTTTTTTTTTTTTTTTTCCAAACAAGTCAGTTGTCTGATGTAATTTGTTTCTATCAACTAAGATCAACTCTGGTAAGTGAAACTTCTCCAAATTTGGTGGAATTTATCCTATATTTTTGTAGTCCCTGTTTATTGTCAGTGACTATGTGAATTATCACAGATATAATTCTAAATAAGATATATGTTATAATTTCCCACCCCCAAATTAAGAATAGTTTAGATAGGCTGGGAAACCTATGCAAGTAAGTACATATTATAAATTATAAGGAATCTCAATTGATGCAATCTGGGCTTCAATGAGTGACCAATTCTACTTGGATTGACGGTGAAACTCAGGAAAATTTTAAGTCAAAAGAAACAATGTACTAAAAGTAATGTACTAAAAGTAATCTCAGTAAATCAACCTTATTAGACATGGAGCTGGACGTGGGATTATACATAATGCTATGTCCTATATGTGTGTGTGTATATATGTTGTGTGTGTGCACATATTTATATATTTGTATATATGAGAGAGAGAGACAAGAGTGCATTGTCTCAAAGAGCCATTTGAGATAGAACAAGGCTGAGCATAGGGGAAGTCGCTGACTTGGAAAGAAGAAAATAGGTCTCTCTCTGTCTTTGAAACTCAGGGGTGGGTGCAATTAAAACACTGAAGATCTCCATCACTACCAGCCCTGTAAAAAAATAAAATAAAATAAAATAAAAAAAAATAAAACACTGAAGATGTAATTTCATTTGTATGTATGTAGAAAATTGAGGTACTTAACACCTAATTACCTACATTTTCTCATTAAAGTGACTAGCAATGCCACCTCCCAGAAAAGAGCAGGAAAGCAGTGAAGGATTAGGATGCCAAATTTAAAGAGTAGCTTCTGCAATTCCTTAGAAAAGTGGACTTATTGACAAGTGGGAGAACTACTTTTCAAAAAATACAGGGTTTCAACATATTAGAGTTCAAAACAGCTGGGTGCGGTGGCTCACGCCTGTAATCCTACCATTTTGGGAGGCTGAGGTGGGAGGATTGCTTGAGCTCAGAAGTTCAAGACCAGCCTGAGCAAGAGCGAGATCCCACCTCTACTATAAATAGAAAGAAATTAGCCAAACAACTAAAAATAGAAAAGAAAAATTAGGCAGGCATGGTGACACGTGCCTGTAGTCCCAGATACTTGGGAGGCTGAGGCAGGAGGATCACTTGAGCCCAGGAGTTTGAGGTTGCTGTGAGCTAGGCTGATGCCACGGCACTCTAGCCTGGGTGACACAGTAAGACTATGTCTCAAAAAAAAAAATAGAGTTCAAAACAGATGGACAAAGTTTAGAAATATTTTGTAAGATAAAATACAATTCGTATGTAAGTGGTTAGTGAAGAGAGAAAAAATATTTTGGGAGAACAAATAACATTGAAAGAAACCACTATATCCTCCACCAAATAAATATTTATTGTATTTTATTTATTTTAGATAAAAATATGTTTATATCACATGAAAATTATATTTTATAGAATTTTATAGAATTTTTAAGAATAATGCAGGTATGACTTGAAAGGATAGAATGCAAGTTTTATCTGTTCGCATAGTATCTTTCTTCATCCTAAGAGTGTCTTCATAGATATCTGGTTCCCTTCTCTCCTATTTGAAAAATGATATATTATATTAATGCATTAATCAATACAATTTTCAAATGGTAAAATTAAAATAATAAAAATTTCCAATTATTAATCAGATATAAAAATTATTCTCTATTCAAAGAAGATAAAAATAAAAAATATTTTGATGGGAGTTGTTGAGAGCAGAATTTTGGTAGGAGGTGTGCATTAAATGTTTTGTGTGTGTGGTTTTCCTCTTCCTTTCTCTTTAATGTAGAGGATAGAAGATGGAGATTTTTTTAGATTACAAGAAGAATGTGTATAGAAGTTGGAAATAATAGAGGATGCTTCTGATTTTGAAGCTACAGACAATAAATTCTAAAACATAAATCAACTACTTTAATGTATTCATCTTTTATTTTAATTTCCAAAGCTACTATCCAATATTTGGAACAAGTTAAGACAGGCATTAGGGTTGACAGTAATAGGTATTGATCCATTCTTGATGGAGGAACACGAAAATTATAGGAACAAGAAGCCTATAGAAGCCCCTTTTCTCCTTTTATTTCATCATATTATGGGGTACAAATATTGTTAGGGTTACATATATTGCCCCTGCCACCCCTCCCCCCACCGTGCCAGAGCTTCAAGCATGTCCAACCCCCAGATGGTGCACACCACACCCATTATGTAAGTATAGACCCTTCCCCTCCTCCCCCCTCCCACCTGCCTACCATTCAATAAAAGTTTGGTGTTTTTTTGAAATTTTGGTTACATTGTATATCTTTGCCTCTCCCTAAGAAGGGTTACAGGTATTCCCTTCCCCCCCCACAATGATCGCCACATTTCTAAGATGTGGGTCTCCCCCTCAAATCCCTGGTGAGCACTACCACAATTTGAGCACCATATTTTAATCAGTCAGTACCTACTTGATGGCGAGTAGATGTGGAGCCCATTTTCCCAATCTTGTGTCGCCTTGCTTTGGATAACGAAGAAGCCCTTTGAAGAAAAGAACCCATGTCTCCCTCTAATCCCTGCTGCCACACTGATTAAATCAGGGACAGAACCACAGGTGATAGATTAAGAACCGACTGTTCCCTGTAGAAAAACATGTTTCCCAAAAATCAATTTCGGTGAGTTCTCAAAATAAATTATAGCAAAAATAGATTTCTGGTTTCATTTAAGTGATTTTTAACCTGTTCCCATGGTTTGGAGACTAATAAGTGGAAGAAACCACAGTATTTAATGGAGTAACTCATGCAACTTCATCACTAAGTTTTTGTCTGTATAGAATTAAAATAAATCATGTAAATAGTTAAATAAATATTACTTAGTTCCTATATGTTAGGTACCATTGTCAAGGAATGGTAGAGAAATGGACAGAAATAATGAAGGAATAGTCTTTGAGCACAAGAAAAAAAAAAAAAGTCAATGAAAATGACACTAATAGAACTTTCAACAAATCCACAGATTTAAAAAAAAGAAAAAGAAAAAGTCAGTTAGCAGAGTGGTTCTGATGCAAAGAGTGATTCTATTATTATTATTCTACAATTATACATTTAAATAATAATAGAGAAAGTATTATCATCCAACCTCCCTAACAATTATGTTACATTTGTATCAATGCTTTCTTTGTTTGGTTAGTTGGTTATTTTAAGAAATGGGCTCCCACTATCTAAAATATTTCAAGGCCTAGGGGAAAAATAGAGGTTTTTTTTCCATTGGGGAAGCCACACTGGGAGATGATATTGGGAAGGTACATATTCCACTACCTAAAATTCTGCCTAGCACATACCTTGTATAAAATCTCATTATTTGTTCAAGTGAATTTGACTGAAAAATGTCAAATCCCAAGTTGTCTTAAGGATTTTGAAAATTAAAAGGTATTCTCTGAGGACAAAGCATTGTCCCTCAGTTTCAAGATCCTTCAAGTCCAAAGCTCAGGCATCCACACTGATGCCACGTACATGTTACAATTTTGAGACTTATATTTCACTCTTCAAGAATGGGAAGTTCAAGGTACAAGAAACAGTGGTGATCTAGCACCTCTTGTATTTTCCTGATTAGAGCTGGAACCCATTCTACTAAGTGAAGTATCCCAAGAATGGAAAAATAAATACATGTACTCACCATAAAATTGGTTTCACTGATCAACACCTAAGTGCACATATAGGAATAACATTCATCGGGCGTTGGGAAGATGAGAGGAGGGAGGAAGGGATGGTATATACATATATAATGATGGTGTGATGCGCACCATCTGGGGACAGACACACTTGAAGCTCTGGCTGGGGAGGGGGGCAAGGGCAATATATGTAACCTAAACATTTGTGCCCCTATAATATGCTGAAATTAAAAAAAGGAAAAAAAAGAATGGGAAGTTCATTCCAACCAAATGTAATCTTTTTAAAATGTTAAAGGCCTTTCAGATTCAAGAAGTATGATGGTTCTTTGAGCTAACATCTCTTCTAGATTTGCCTCGGAGCTGTTCCTAGATCCATTCACAAGGTGGTATCAATACCTGATTTCAAATGGTTAACAAAAACAGCTATGTATTAATGTATTAATGATACTAAAGTACTATATATATAATGTAATGATCCTGGTATATCAGTCCCATTTTCATGTACTTTACTGAAGGTAAAGATTTTATTATTTCTGTCAATGTCTCCTTTTTTGACAACACAAAACCTGCTTCAGAAAATTTTTAACTTGTTTCTTATATTTAGCAATTCTATTTCTGAATAATAGCTAAAATTTTTTGTGAATTGAATATTAGTTAATCACAATGGAGAGGAGATAAATTTAACTTGCTTTTAGTAACTCCATGCTGAGGACACTGAGTTACTTGACATACAGATATATTAAATATCACACATTTTTTTTCCTTCTGTTCTTTGGCTTCCTAAGCAGAGCTACACGTGGTATCTTCAGAGTGACTATGGTCAACTTGACCTCAACGAGTGGATTCCTCCTCATGGGGTTTTCTGATGAACGTAGTGTTCAGATTTTACATGTGCTGCTGTTTTCGGTAATATACCTGCTGGCCCTGGCAGGCAACCTCCTCATCATCACTATCATTACCTTGGACCTTCGTCTCCATTCCCCTATGTATTACTTCTTAAAGCACCTCTCTCTTCTGGACCTCTGCTTCATCTCGGTCACAGTGCCCCAGTCCATTGCGAACTCGCTATTGGACAATGGTTACATTTCCCTTGCTCAGTGCGTTCTTCAGGTCTTCTTCTTCATATCTCTGGCCTCATCAGAAGTGGCCATGCTCACAGTGATGTCTTATGACCGGTGTGCTGCAGTCTGTCAGCCACTGCAGTATGAGGCCATTATGGATCCCAATGCCTGCAGGCGTGCTGTGATAGCTGCGTGGATTGCTGGGGGCCTCTCTGGGCTCATGCACACGACTGTTAACTTCTCCATACCGCTCTGTGGGGAGAGAGTCATTCACCAATTCTTCTGTGATGTTCCTCAGATGCTGAAACTAGCCTGTTCTAAAGAATTCATTAATGAGATTGTAGTGGCTGCTTTCACAACTTTGACAGCCTTTGTCTGTTTGATCTCCATTGTGCTCTCCTATATTCGCATCTTCTCCACGGTGCTGAGAATCCCATCAGCTGAGGGCCGCACCAAAGTCTTCTCCACCTGCCTACCACACCTATTTGTAGTCACTTTATTTCTGTCAGCTGCAGGCTTTGAGTTTCTGAGACCCCCTTCTGATTCTCCATCAGCTATGGACCTCATGTTTTCCATAGTCTATACTGTGATACCTCCAACCCTTAACCCAGTCATGTACAGCTTGCGGAATGAGGCCATGAAGTCAGCACTAAGGAAAGTGCTGTCAAAAGAAGAATTTGCTCAAAGAAAGATATATTTAAAAGCCATGTTTAAACTCTAAGGATCCATACAAATAAAAAGCTTTATTATTATGTTTCAAAGTGGAAAAGGCATGAATCTGATTTCTTTCCAGAACTCTCTTCCAACTTGTGTATTCTATATATTCTTCTCAAATATAATTCTTTAAAATTTAAGAGGTTATGCTTCCACAAATATTGGCTTTCCTTCTTCCCTCCAGTTCAAGTGTTATTTTAAGGCATCTTGTAGAAATTTCTCTGAAATGAAAGAGAATGGCAATTAGTTTGGACAATGGCCTGTATGATTTAAAGCTAGTTATTAACAAATAGCTTATAGATCATAATCAGATGAAATTAACTATGAATATGAGAGTATACCTATGATGTATGTATGGGATTTCCAGAGTCTCCTACTTTTCTTATCCATATTTAGTATCCATAATACATATTAAAATAGCTATTTCAACTATTTGTTCAACCCTTAGTGTCAGGTGCTTTATACACATTTTTCTTTTTTTTTATTTCAGCACATTATGGGGGTCCAAATTTTAAAGTTTCAAATAATGCCCTTGCCCCCCACCCCCAAAAGTCTGAGATTCAAGCATGACCATCCCCCAGACAGTACACATCTCACTCATTATGTATGTATATACCTCTCCCCTCCTCTCCCTCCCACCCACTTAATACTCCATTAATGTAGTTCTTGTGTGTCTACTTAAGTGCTGCTCAGTTAATACCAGTTTGCTGGTGAGTATATGTGATGCTTGTTTTTCCATTCTTGGGATACTTCAATTAGTAGTATAGGTTCCAGCTCTATCCAAGAAAATACAAGATGTGCTATATCACCGTTGTTTCTTAGAGCTGAATAGTACTCCATGGTATACATATACCACATTTTATTAATCCACTCATGAACTGATGGGCACTTGGGTTGTTTCCAATTGTGAATAGTGCTGCTATAAAAATTTGAGTGCAGGTGTCTATTTTCTAGAGTGTCATTTGAAATTTTGGGTAGATACTGAGTAATGGAATTGCTGGATCAAATGGTAGATCTACTGATATCGCTTCCAGCAGTGTAGAAGTGTTCCTATCTCTCCACATCCACGCCAACATCTATTGTTTTCAGACTTTTTGATAAAGGCCATTCTCACTGGAGATAAGTGAAATCTCATTGTGGTTTTGATTTGTATTTCCATGATGATTAGAAATGTTCAGCATTTTTTCATATGTTTGTTAGGGATTATTCTGTCTTCTTTAGAAAAGTTTCTTTTCATGTCCTTTGCCCACTTTTTGATAAGGTTGTTTGATTTTTTCTTCCTGATTTTCATGAGTTCTAAGTAGATTCTAGTTATCAGTCCCTTATCAGATGTGTAGGATGTGAAAATGTTCTCCCATTCTGTAGCTTTTCCGTTTACTTTCATGACTATTTCTTTGGCTGTGCAGACTCTTTTTAGTTTGATCATGTCCCATTTGTTTATTTTTGTTGCTGCTGTGATAGCCTTTGGGGACCTCTTCATAAAATCTTTGCCTAGGCTGATGTCTAAGAGAGTGTTTCCAACATTTTCCTCTAGAATTATGATAGTTTCACACCTTAGGATTAAGTCTGTTATCCAGCATGAGTTTATTTTTGCGAACGGTGACAAAGTGGATCCTGCTTCAGCCTTCTACAAGTTGCTATTCAGTTTTCCCAGGACCCTTTATAGAAAAGGGATTCTTTTCCCCAGTGTATGTTTTTGTGTGCATTGTCAAAGATTAGATGGCGGGAGCAAGATGGCAGATGAATAACACCGCCAGACAGAGTGTCTCTGCAGAAAAGACAGATTCTAGCAGAAATTAGAAAAAAGAAGCAAGAAGACGAGCATACAGCAGATGAGGGCCAGAAGGAGGGATAACTGAGACCCCGGGACACTCCACGGGAGGAGGCTGCGGAGGAGAACTGGAGGCTGAGACCACCAGAGCATCCCAGAGACCAGCGGAAAGAGTAGGTGGATTTGCTGTTTCCCCTCCCGTGCATTTGGAACTGATGGTGGGCTCCCCAACGGGTAGAGAGACCTGCAGACACTAGCCCAGAGACGGCCGCCGCCTGCCAGTGGTGAGCCTGTAGCAGACGTGGCACCAGGTTCCAAACTTCCTCCGGCCACCTCCGTGTGCACAGACCCAAGCCGCATGGCAGGCGCCATATTGCCTCCTCCTCTCCTACGCTGACCCTACCCGCGGCTGCCAAGAGAGGCAATACTGCCACCAGCCAGAGGCACCTCCAGGGAACGGGACCTTCCCTTTTGGGACCCTACAGCTGACTCAGGAGAACTCAGACTGTGAGCTCCCTACCCGCCAGCTCTCCCAGGTGAGGCTGGTACAGTGTTCCCAGGAGAACAGGGCCGACTCAGAGGCTGAGAGACATAGACCCAGCTTGGGCTCCCTGTGGGTGAATTCGGACCGGAACTCCTCTCCCTGGTGGGGATACAGTTTGAACTGTGGGACCCAGAGGTTGGACCTGCAGACCAGATCCCCCTGCACCGAGGGCTAACATTGCCTGGGGCACAGATGGGTTATACGTGAACAGCCTACTGAGGTGTGTGTGCCTCCAGGGGCGGATCAGCATCCTAGAGGGCAACCCTCCCCCCAGGAGGAGGCCTTGCGCCCAGCCCAGGTGGCGTTCCTGTGCAGGGAACCCCCCGCCGGCATCACAGTCTGGGGAGGCCTGGTGGCTTGTGGTCTGGCCTGCTGGCAGAGACCCAGGATAAGCTGCGGAGTTGGGGAGGGTGGAAAGAAGCAGGGCCTGCTCCAGATTGCGGGTCTCCGACAGCCCCACCCCCCACACAGACTTTCTGGCTGAGGGGGGCCATTCCAGCCCCGCCCTAACAGCTTTTATGGAAGCAGAGAACAGAACTTTGACCCCTGCTAATGGCCTGAGGACAGGTTTACCCAACCCAGCTCCGCCCAGAACAAGAGCTGACAACAAGACACAAAATCAACAGCATAGCCTGTTCCTCCAAGCAAACGCCACCTACTGACAGGGATGGCATCTTGCACAGCCTTTCCAAGGCACCCACTGACTCAGTATACAGGGAGTGGTCCAAACTCACCCACAGACACCACCTAACATCTCAGAAACTAAACAAAGTGTGTGAATACCCAAACGATAACCTAAAGGATAGAAACAACAATTGATCAAATGGAAGAAATCAGTGAAAGAACTCAGGAAATATGAAGAACCAAACGGAAAACACTCCCCAAAGAGGAGCACTAGCCCCCTAGAAACGGACACCAACCAAAATCAGGAAACCAATATGACAGAAGAGGAATTTCATATGTGGATCATAAGAACACTCACCCAGCTGCAACAACAACTCAATAACCAACATAAAGAAACCACAAAAAGCCTCCAGGATATGGAAAAAGCATTAGACACTTTGAAGAAAAGTGTAACCGAGCCCCTGGAAATGAAGAATCAATTCAAGGAACTACAAAATACAGTGGAAAGTCTCAAGAACAGGGTAGATCAAACAGAAGAAAGAATCTCAGAGCTTGAAGATATACACCCTCCAATTAAATAATCAGTCACAGAAATAGAGCGAGAAACAAGAAAAAAGAGCAAAGCCTACAAGAGCTGGGATTAGGTGAGAAACCTAACGTGAGGGTCATAGGCTTACCAGAAGGGGAAGAATAAACACTCAGGGTTGGACAAGCTGTTTGAAGATATAATAGAGAAAATTTCCCAGCCTTGCTCAATCTTGATATACAGGTTCAAAGAAGCTCAGAGGACTCCTGGGAGATTCAACGCAAACAGGAAGACGTCACGACATGCAATCATCAGACTGACCAAAGTATCAACTAAAGAGCCCTTCTAAGAGTGTAAGACAAAAGAAGCAAGTAACATACAAGAGAAAGCCAATTCAAATAACACCAGACTTCTCTAATGGACTTTACAAGAAAGGAGAGACTGGGGCCCCATCCTCTCCTTGAAACAAAACAATGCCCCCTAGAATAGTATTCCCTGCAAAACTAAGTTTCGTATATGAAGGAGAAATAAAAACATTCTCAGACAAGCAAAGGCTCAGAGAATTTACTAAGACACGACCAGCCCTACAAGTAGTACTTAAAACAGCGTTACGTATGGAACATCATAATAATAACCCACGATAAAAACAACCAAAACCCAAAGATATTAAAGGCCAGATATAACAATGGCTCAAGACAGAAATCATAGCAACAACATCCAACCCAACAGAATGAAGAGTAATCTACCTTACGTATCAGTTCTCTCAATAAATGTGAATGGCTTAAACTCTCCACTCAAGAGACATAGGCTTGCTGAATGGATAAGAAAATACAGGCCAAGTATATGCTGTCTTCAGGAAACACATCTAACCTGCAGGATGCATATAGACCTATAAATAAAAGGGTGGAGATCAGTATTCCAAGCAAATAGAAGCCAAAAGAAGGCTGGTGTGGCTGTTCTAATTTCAGATGATTTAGTTTTTTAACCAACAAAAGTAGTGAAAGACAAAGAGGGTCATTATATATGGTGAGGCACAGTTCAACAAGAAGCGATAACATTTTAAATAAATTAAACCCAACTTAGGTGCACCAGATTCATAAGCAAACTTACTGGAGCTAAGCCAATGGATTAATAGCAACTCCATTATCACCGGAGATTTCAACACCCCACTGACGGCTCAAGATCAAGATCCTCCAAACCAGAAATTTAATAAAGAAATATATATGTGAGCGTTAAACAAAACTCTAGAACAATTTGTTACGACTGACATCTATATAGGACATTCTACTAAAATCCCACTGAATATCGTTCTTCTCATCAGCTCACGAGACATTCTTAATTTGACCATATCCTAGGACCACAAAGTAAATCTCTAAGAAATTAAAAAAATAGAAATCGTACAAGTACTCTTCCTCAGATCAGCAGGGGAGTAAAAGTAGAAATCAACCCTAAACAGAACTGTACATTTCTACACAAAAAACGCTGGAAATTAACAACGCTCTTGCTAAATGTTATTCATAAATGAGTATCAAGACGGAAATAAAAAATTCTATAAGAAACGAAAATGGAGAGACAAGATATCAACCTCCTTGGGACATCCAGCTTAAAGCAGTTTCTGAGA